ACAACAACAACATGTGAGTCCTGGTATGGCGGTCAAGATAAGCACTGGACTACAAGGTTGGTTTGAACCACAAGGTGGTTCAAGCTCACCAGCCACTCCTGGGAAGTCCTATACAGGGTTGCTATGAGTTGGAACTGACTGCAGGGCATTAGAAACAACACATTAAAAGAGGTAACTCCCAGGTAGTGAGAGTGGCTTCGCCAAATTCTTTCCTCAGGATTATACTCCTGCCTCTCAGCATAAAGTCGCCATAGCTTTGAACTGTGCCTGTGAGCACTATGTTAGTATTTTAAGTTTTAAGTGTTATTTGGTATGCTTTGGTAGGTTATATTTTTGGACCTGGAAATGGTAAAAACGTTTTCCCATAGAAATTTGTGGTAAGTACTTCTTCACTTTGAGCGTTTCAGCTTTAAGATCTCACAGGAACATTTTACCTTCAGGTAGAGGAAGAAAGCTGTATCTGATTCACCTGGGAATCTTATTAAATAAAATACAGTCTGTGGTTCAGTAGGTCTGGGTTAGAGCCAGAGATTGTGTACCTAACAAGCTCTCAGAGATGTTGATGCTATTGGTCCAGACCCCAAATCCATTCTAACTCATAGCGCCCCCACAGGACAGAGCAGGGCTGCCCCCTAGTGTTTCCAAAGCTGGAGATCTTTGTGGAAGCAAACTGCCACATCTTTCTCCTGGGGAGCGGCTGGTGGATTCCAACCTCCAAACTTTTGGTTCGTAGTCCAATGCTTAACCCACAAATCTACCCGGGCACCTATTGGGTCCATAGACCACATGTATACTATCAAGGTTCTAACCAATTAGAAAATATAATGGAAAATATATTCGTATCAAAGCAACCAAAATGATAAACTAGTAATTAATTTACAGGAATTACAATATCTACAGGGAAAAAAAAGATAATTCTGTAAATGGACATAAATGAAGACCTGAAGTGAGTGATTATGGATAACAATATAAAAATGCTGATTCTTTCTATATTAATCTATAAATTTAGTGTAAAACAACAACAAAAAAGTCAAGATTTCTTTTTTTAATATTAAGTTATCTTTGTTCTCCCCAAACCACTGATTGGGTTTCTACTCTGTAGTTGTCCCTGCCAGCAGCCACGGAGCTGCGTTCTCCAGAGAAGCTGGACTCCCAGCAAGTAACGCTGGAGTCTCTGGAATCTGAAGGTGTGGGTTAGAATCCTGGCGTTAGCAAGAATTCTGGTTTTATGACTGTGTAAATCACTTACCCACTCAGCCACCTTGTGAGGAAAATAGAAACAGTCATAGTGCTTCACAGGGTGATCCTTAGGAGATCAATGCAATAAAATAACGTTTGCAGAAAGCACAGTGCCTGACGTATACACCATGCTGAAAATACCAGAATCCCTTTTCTCGGTCCCTTTCATTTTACCTGGATTATGTGAATTCCAACTTAAATGAGTTAAACATCTACATGGCTCCTGATGAGAATCTGTAGGGGGATCCAATCCCACTCCCCAAAATAACATGAGTCTACTTACCAAACGGATGATTGGCAAAATCATCTGTTTTGAGTCACTTCATTTTCCTTGATGATCTTAGACGTTTCGGGCTCTGTTTGGTAAGAACCTGACAATATTTATTAGCAAATGCTGCCAAACTTTTTGCTCCATACTAGTTCTTTAGGAAATGAAGGCAACTTACACATTCCTGCACCAGCGGTCTCCAGGCAGGAGGTCTGGCATATAATAAACATTCAGTAAAGTGTGTTAATAATAACTGAGTTATTAAATGAACATACAATTCTGATTGTTTAGATGAATGGAGTCAAGAAAAGGCCTCCAGTTGTTTACAGAAGATCTCAAAAGGGAGAATAAAGTCAATACCTGTTAAATTATCCACTTTAGCACCGTTTATGTTTGCAAATACTGAAAACACCTCCCAAAGTCCCAAGTTCGCAACTACAGAAAATTAGTAAGGGGATTACAGTACTACCAGTAGATGAAACATTATGTAGCCATGAAAAATGAAGTTGACTGAAAGTTTTTAAGGACACTGGAAAGTGCATGTGACAATATATTAATTAAAATCTCAGAATACAAAATTATTAAGTATCTGGGATAACCTTATCTACATTAAGAAAAAAACACAAAACTTAGAACAAAACCAAATTTGCTAAAATAAGATACCCAAAATGCTACGATGATTTCTTCCGATGGTGGAATTATAGATTATTTTCCCTTCTTTTATAGACTTTTTTAAAACTGAATTTTCTAAAGAAATGTATAACTCCTACAATTAGAAAAGTTATGTTCTTATTTTTTTGAAATAAAAATATATAAATTCAAGGAAAAAGAGCAACTACACAAGGTGAGTCATCTAATACAAGCATTGCACGTCTCCCAGGTGAGAGCAGAGTAGCTCATACTTGGGAGGGTCATCAGTGGGTCATCAGTACACACACACACTAGAGAAACCCATCACTCTTTCTCCCACAGTCTTGCAATCAATTTGTCCTCACATGCTGTCTCCACTCACCCTGAAAAGACTTCGAGTATTTTTCTGCCTTTTCTTGCTTCGCCAGTACATGCTCCTGGCTCCGTTCCTCTTTGATAATGTTGGTTTTGGAAATGCCTTTTTCAGACATTCTTCTCTGATTTAAAACCAAATGTCTCACCTCCTCTAGAATGGAGAAGAAAGGATCATTGGTTCAAACAGTCATGACAGTATTTACTGAGAGTCTTGAAGTCCTGGTGTGGTGCTGTGGGTTAATGCACAGGACTTCAAGTGTGTTTGAACTGCATCGTCAGTGGTTCAAGCTTACTAGCCACTCCTCAGAAACCCTACATGGAATCCCTATGGGTTGGAACCAACTCGATGGCACTTAACAACAGTATTATGTGATTAATCAAAAAACCCTGGTGGCACAGTGCGTAAGTGCTCGGCTGCTAATCAAAAGGTTAGTGATTTGAACCCACTCGCCACTCCATGTGAGAAAGATATGGCTGTCTGCTTCTGTAAAGACTGTTGTTAAGTGCCACCGAGTCAGTTTCAACCCATAGCAATCCTATTTCGGGTTTCCACAGAGTGACTGGTGAGCTTGAATTGCTGACCTTGAGGTTCAAATCAACTTTGCAGTCCAGCACATTAACCCACAACGCCACAGTCTTGGAAACTCTGCCGTACAGGGGCACCGTAACTCAGAATCCAGAATGCTCCTTAGAAGGATGGCGAGACTTCATTTCTCATGCTTTGGATATGCTGTAAGAAGGGGACCAGTCCTTGGAGAAGGACATCATACTTGGTAAAGAGGAGGGTCAGTCAAAGAGAGGAAGACCCTCAATGTGATGGACAGAACAGCAGAAGCAACAATGGCCTCAAATATAACAACAATTGTGAAGATGGCGCAGGACCGGACACGATGAGTTGAAACCAACTCAAGGGCACATAACAACTCCACGGCAACTGCAATCACTCTCCTTGAATTAAACAATGGATAAGGAATCCTGGTGTGGTTAGGCCAGTTTGAACCCCGAGGTAGGTATATCAAACCCACTAGCCACTTCTCAGAAACCACAGGGAATCAACTGGATGGCACTTAACAACAATACAGATAATATCCCTTTCCTCTGGGCATTGTAGCCTAAGGGACTGCTTCCAAATACCAGGAAATTCAAAAGAATAACCCTGCAGATGTTTGGGAGCACAGATCTCAATTGGCAATGTTTTCCTCCAAATTAGACCAGTAAGCACTTGACACTCTCAGGAAAACATTATCAACTCCTCCACGTTATAGATGAGGAATTTGGCACTTTAGAAACCTTTCTGTGGTCAAAGAACTGACCTAGATATAGGTCAGGACTGTTCCCAGAACTCCTGTCCCTGGATACAGTCCTGATCTTTATCGGAACCAATTCTCTGACTCCCAGGGAGACCTGGGGAGTATTCACTTCGATCAAAATGAGGTCTTGCATGGAAGCAAGCAAACCTGTGTGAGACAATAAATGAACAGAAGAGTGAATGAAAGAATGGAGGTAACTAGAGGTAACTATAAGCGACAAGAAAGTGGTGACATTGTATTCAGTCTTGAAGGCTAGACACAATGTTTGGAGAAAGAGATGAGGCTAAAATCCCTTCAGGCATAGCCAGCTTCCTGAATACAAGTCATATAATGAGGCACCAGGAAGATGACCAGGGTGTGAGGGTGGAAGTGAGAGTAGCAAAGACCAGTGTGGAACAAGTTACAAAATGCCTTCAAGATCAGACTCACTGGGAAGCCATGAAAAGGTGCAATGACATGCCAGGGTCAAAGGGCGCCTTACATAAAGGCTGAGCAGGATCAAGGAGGAGGAGACAGCCATGGGGCAAACAGCTCTAAAGAATGACAAACAGTTCTGTTTCAACCTCCTAAGAAACAAAAGCCAACTAGATGTCAGGTGGGGGTAGGGGATGGCCAAAGGATGAAGACCTTCAAGGATTCAAATAGGACTTGAGGCTGTAAGAGTGATGGGGTATTTGTCCAATACTGAGAAACCAAGAGGATGGGGAGATGTGAGAAGAGAGCAGTGTTGTCTGGATGGGATGCTATATTCAAGATCAGTGCGCTGGAAGCTAACAGGCTCTGGGGTGTCAAAAACAATGCCCTAGCCCCACTGTCTGGAGTCCTGGTGTGGCACTACAGGTTAATGCACTGGGCTGCAAGGTCGGTTTCAACCACAAGGTCAGTGGTTCAAGCTCACAGCCGCTTCTTGGAAACCCCATACGGGTCGCTATGGGTCAGAACCGACTCAATGGCACTTAACAACAACAACATCCCCTTTGTACCATAAAGCACACCTCTACGGTGTTTCTCCCTCCTAAGACACAAGAGTCTCAATAAGGTATCTTCTGAAGTGAAAGAAGGCAGTGTAAGACATCATATACAGTAAAGCCCATTTTACTAAAAACAAAACAAAAAATCCACATTTGTACCCACCTTACTGTTACTCTGGTAGCATAGTGGTTACAAATCGGGCTGCGAACCATAAGGTCAGCAGTTCGAAACTACCAGCCGCTCCATGGGAGAAAGATGAGGTTTTCTGCTCTCGTAAAGATTTACAGCCTCGGAAACCCTATACAGGGTTGCTATGGGTCAGAACCAACTTGACAGCACTTAACAACTGTTGGTGTAGTACAGCTGCGGTGCAGACAGTTGCTTACTACAAGGTCCAATGCATATGAGGCTATTGAAAATACCTTGGGGCTTGGGTCAGCTTCAACTTGGTCCTCAAACTAGTATCTTTGCTCTTGAACACTTCAAAGAGGTTTTGTGCAGGTGATTTGCTTAACGCAATATACTGTTTGATTTCTTGACTGCTGCTAGGTGAGCTATGGATCCAAACAAAATTAAGTCTTTGACAATTTTCTTTACATGGAGGTGCAATCCATACTGAAGGCTGTACTCTTTGATCTTCATCAGTAAGTATTTTAAGTCATTTTTATTTTCAGCAAGCAAGGTTGTATCATCAGGTTGTTAGTGGGTCTTCTTCCAATCCTGATGCCATGTTCTTCATAATCTAGCTTCCCAGATTATTTGCTCAGCATACACACTGAATAAACGTGGTGAAAGAATACAACTCTGGTGCACACTTTTCCTGATTTCAAGCCATTCAATATCCTCTTGTTCTGTTAGAATGACTTCCTCTTGGTGTATGTACAGGTTCCTCATGAGCACAACTAAATGTTCTGAAATACCTGTTATTTGCAATTTTGTCATGATCCACATGGATAGAGCCTTTGCATAGTCAATAAGGCACGGGTAAAACATCTTTCTGGTATTAGTTTTCAGCCAAGATCCATCTGATGTTCACAGTGATCTATTCCTCCTTCCACATCCTCTTCTAAATCTGGCTTTCTGGCAGTTCGCTGTCCATGTACTGTTACAGCCATTTTAAAATTATCTTCAGGAGAATTTTACTTGCATGTAAAATACTGATATTATTCTGTGATTTCCCATTCCATTGAGTCACCTCTTTGGAATGGGCACAAATATGGATCTCTTCCAATCAGTTGGCTAGGCAGTTTTCTTCCAATTTCTTGGCATAGACTGCATCGCACTGCTGAGAGATTTCAATTTATATTCCATCAATTCCTGGAGACATTTTTGCCAATGTCTTCAGTGCAGCTTGAACATCTTCCTTCAGTACAATCAGTTCTTCATCATATACTACTTCTTGAAATGGTGAATATCAACAATTGCTGTTTGGTATAGTGCCTGTGTATACCTTCCATATATATATATATAATTTTTTTTTTAAGTTTTTATTGTGAATTGAGTGATAGTTTACATGGGAGAACTTTGGTTTTACACTCATCGTTTCATTTCAATGATTACAATCTCCTCCATGTATCATCATTCAACAGTATTTGCTTCCATTCCCTCTGGGTTTTGGGGGCGTGGTGGGGCTAGGAGGATGTACAAAAAACCACTCAGGAATATATAGTAAACAACCAATGGGCACATTCTTCAAGCCTGTCTCCTGGTTGCCAGCAAAAAGACTGTCTAGTATCTAGACTCCCTTTCCATGAGTCTAGAGCCCTCAGCTGCTCCGTCTCTTCATGTCCTCATCTCTGCCTCCATCTCTGGTGTTGCTGCTTCTCTGGATAGGGTCACGCATTCCGTTTGTGCTCTTCTCCCTTGATGGTCCTAGGGTCCTCTGTTTCTGGATTATAAGATTAACTACTCCCCCATTTTTGTTACAAAACATCTACCTTTACAGTTGTGACAGCCACAATTAGTCATAATAACAGTTACTCACTACTGAATCATAAGAATCTTATCCCCGTCTCTTTTCATGAGACAAGACGAAAACTATTCAGTGGGGACTCTACTTTCTCCCACACACTCTTAAACTAAACTCCCGTTTGAAAACTTGTAAGCCAGTCACTTTGTGCCTTTATCACTCCCCTCATTTTAGGTAGCCAATGTCTAATTTGCTCGTCCCTATCTACTCTGTATACAGACAGGATGGGATTGATCCTTGATGTGAAGACTCCTTCCCTCTTAGTTGGTATTTTGAGCTACTACATCCATACATCTCTTCTTGATATGGTCTCTAAATTCCATAAGTACCACCACTCATCTGTCAGTTTGTCGTACTGTGGTGGCTCGTGAGTTGCTGTGATTTTGAAAGCTATGCCACCACTATTTTAAATATCAGCAGGGTTCACCCATGGTGGACAGGTTTCAGATGAGCTTCTAGATGAAGACAGACTAGGAAGAAGGAGTGACGAACTACTTCTGAATATTTAGTCACTGAAAACCTTATGAATAGCAAAGAAACACTGTCAGTCATAGTTCCAGAAAATGAGCCCCTCAGGTTGGAAGGCATTCAAAATATGACTGGGGAAGAGCTGCCTCCTCAAAGTAGAGTTGACTGTGATGACACAAATGGAGTAAAGCCCGCAAGACCTTCATTTGCTGATGGGGCACAACTCAAGATGAAGAGAAACAGCTGTAAACATTCATTGAAAACTGGAACATGGAATGTATGAATTATGAATATGGGAAAATTGGAAGTTGCCAAAAATGAAATGGAATGCATAAACATTGATATCTTAGGCATTTAGTGAGCTGAAATGGACTAATATTGGCCATTTTGAATCTGACAACCACATTGTTTGCTACGCTGGAAATGACAAATTGAGGAGGGAAGGTGTTGCATTCATTGTCAAAAAGAGCATATCCAGATTTGTGATAGGATAATGCTGCAAGTATACATTGACAGAGAACTTCCAGAGGTTCAAACTGGATTCAGAAGAGGCCGTGGAATGAGGGATATCATTGCTGATGTCCGATGGACCTTGGCTGAAAGCAGAGAATATCACAAAGATGTTTACCTGTGCTTTATTGACTACACAAAGGCTTTCGATTGTGTGGGTCATGACAAACTATGGACAACATTGCGAAGTCTGAGTATTCAGGAACACTTAATTGTGCTCATGAGGAATCTGTACATGGACCAAGAAGCAGTTGTTCAAACAGAACATGGGAACACTGAATGGTTTAAAATCAAAAAAGGTGTGCGACAAGGTTGTATTCTTTCACCATACTCATGCAACCTGTATGTTGAGCAAATAGTCCAAGAAGCTGGGTTCTATGAAGAAAACCGTGGCATCAGGATTGGAGGAAGACTCATTAACAACCTGAGATATGCAGATGATACAACCAGGCTTGCTCAAAGTGAAGAGGACTTAAAACATTTACTGATGAAGATCAAAGAGCACAGCCTTCAATATGGATTACATCTCAATGTAAAGAAAACAAAAATCCTCACCACTGGACCAATAAACAACATTCTTATCAACAGAGAAAAGATTGAAGTTGTCAAGGACTTAATTCTTCTTGGATCAACTATCAACACTCATGGCAGCAGCAGTCAAGAAATCAATCAAACGACGTATTGCATTAGGAAAATCTGCTGCACAAAACCTTTTTAAAGTGATAAAGAGCAAAGATGTCAGCTTGAGGACTAAGGTGCGCCTGACCCAAGCCATTGTATTTTCAATAACCTCATATGCATGCAAAAGCTGGACAGTGAGTAAGGAAGACCATAGAAGAATTGATGCCTTTGAATTATGGTGTGGAGGAGAATATTTAAAGTGCCATGGGTTGCCAAAAGAAAAAACAGATCCACATTGGAAAGAAGTACAGCCAGAGCGCTCCTTGGAGGCCAATATGGCCAAACTTCGTCTCTCGTACTTTGGACATATTGTTAGGAGGGGCCAGTCGCTAGAGAAGGATACCATGTTTGGTAAGGTGAAGGGTCAGATAAGAAGAGGAAGACCCCCAACGAGATGGATTGGTCAGGTGGTAGCATTGATGGACTCAATCGTGGCAACAGTAGTGAGGTTGGCCCAGGACTGGGAAGTGTTTCATTCTGTTGTGCATAGGGTCGCTAAGAGTCGGTACCAACTTGATGGCACCGAACAACAACAACAACAACAACCGTAAGTAAGGAGCTCTGGTATCGTAGTGGTTACGAGTCAGGCTGCTAACCTCAAGGTAGGTCAGCTAATTTGAAACTACCAGGAGTTCCACCGGAGAAACTTTCTGCTTCAGTAAGGATTTACAACCTTGGAAACCCTATACAGGGTCACTATGAGTCAGAGCCAACTCCACGGCACACCACCACCACCACCACATCCATAAGTATAGGTCAAGTTCATACCTTCCATCTACTTTTGATGCCTTCTTCATCATTCAATATTTTGCCCACAGAATCCTTAAATATCTCAAGTCAAAGCTTGAATTTTTCTTAAGTTCCTTCAACTTGAGAAATGCTGAGAATGTTTTTCCCTTTTGGTATTCTAACTCCAGGCCTTTGCACATTTAATTTTCTTCTCAAGCTGCCCTTTAAATTTTTCTGTTCAGCTCTTTGTCTTCCTCATTTCTTCCACTTACTTTAGCATCTCTACACTGGAAAGCAAATTTCAGAGTCTCTTCTAACCTCCATTTTGATCTTTTCTTTCTTTCTTGTTTTTGTAATGACCTTTTGCCTTCTTCCTATATGATGTTCCTGACGTCATTCTACAGCTCTTCTGGTCTTCGGTCATTCTTGTACAATGCATTAAACCTCTTCTTGAGATGGTCTCTAAATTCAGGTGGGATATATTTAAGGTCATATCTTGACTTTCATGGATTTATTTTAATTTTCTTCAGCTACAGCCTTAACTTGCATATGAGAAATTGATGGTTTTGTTTTGGCTGATGATATTGAGCTTTTCCATTATTGCTTCCCACAGATGAAGTCAATTTGATTCTTGTATATTCCACCTGGTGAGGTCCATGTACGTAGTTATTTTTTATGTTGTTTAAAAGGTATTTGCAATGAATAAGTTATTGGTCTTGCAAAATTCTATCATGCAATCTCCAGCATCATTTCTATCACCAGGACCATATTTTCCATCTACTGATCCTCTTTGTTTCCAACCTTTGCATTCCAATCGCCAGTAATTATCAATACATCTTGATTGCATGTTTGATCAATTTCACACTGAAGAAGTTAGTAGAATTCTTCAATTTCATCATCACTGACTTTAGTAGTTGATGCATGAATATGAATAATAGTTGTACTAACTGGTCTTCCTTGTAGGTGTATGGATATTATTCTTTCACACACAGACAACATTCTACTTCAAGGAAGATCTTGATATGTTCTTTTTGATAAACAATACGATGCCATTCCTCTTCAATTTGTCATTCCCGGCATAGTAAACCATGTGACTGTCAGGTTCAAAATGTCCAATATCAGTCCATTTCAGTTCACTAATACCTAGGATTATCGATGTTTATGCATTCCATTTCATTTTTTACAACTTCCAGTTTTCTTAGACGCATACTTGGTAAGTTCCATGGTCCAATTATTAATGGATGTTTTCAGCGGTTTCTCCTCATTTTCAGTTGTGCTCTTTCTGCATTCACACTATCACCCGTCAACTCTACTTTGAGGAAGACGCTCTTCGCCTGCTGTATTTTGAATGCCTTCAAACCTAATGGGCTCATTTTCCAGCACTATATTTGACAATATTCTGGTGATATCCATAATGTTTTCATCTTCTGGAGCTATATATGAGTTTTCCGCTGTTATTTATAAGGTTTTCAGTAGGTAACCATTTAGAAGCAGTCTGCCACTCCTTCTTACTAGTCTGTCTCAGTGTGACAGCTGCCCACCAGGAAGTTTGGAGCACACTTTTCAAGAGATATGTCTTTCCATTGGTCCAGGTGGGGATGTCATCCTGGGTCCCCTTCTCTCACATGGAAAGCCTTCAATTAGTAGTTTGGATATAAATTTGAGTATAAGTCAATTATTTCCAGCCCAATGCATTTGCACCCTCAAGTGGCCATGTTTCATAATATATGAAGAAACTTCTGATGGTCATAAATGGCATCTAGTACTGGCTTCTAATGGATAGAGGCCAGGCAAGCTACTAAACAACCTACAGTACACAGAGCAGCCTTCACAACAAAGACGTATCTAACCCATCATGGCAACAGTACCAAAGGTTAAGAAACCGGATATAAATGAAAAATTCAAAAGCTGAGGTCTTAAGACTCCAATGTCAAAAGGTTCTCCAATAAAGCAGGCTGGAAAAAGAGAAGCCCAGGGTCTGATTCTGGCACCAGCATTTCATGCAAGTGACACTCTTGGTCTGCTTGCTGTCAAGTGGAGACAATGATACTTGGCTAGACGCTGCTAGTAACAGTAGAAGCAGGACCATACTTCTTTGAGTAATAAGGCACATCTAACAAATTCAGGATGCATCTAATAAGTAATACCACGCCCTAATTTAAATTGAGGTCCTGAGTAGCACAAATGGTTTGCAGTCAACTACTAACCTAAAGGTTGGCTGTTTGAACCCACTCAGTGATACTGTGGAAGAAAGGTCTAAAGATCTGCTTCTTTCTGTTCAAATTACAGCTCAGAAAACCCTACTCTAACATAGAAAACCCAAGTCTAACACAGAACACCTAACTCTTAACACATGGGTTTGGTAGGAATGGGCATGAGTCAGAATTGACTTGATGGTAATTAAGTTTGCTTTGTTTATAGCTTAATTTGCAGATTTACACTTTCAAAATTCTCCAAAGACAATGTACACCCTATTGCTTAAGCCTGGGGTGTTCTGCTCCCACTGCCCTGTCTGACAGTGGTGCGCAAGTCAGGTGGTGGTTGTGTGTGCTGTGAAGTCAGCTCCATAACAACATGGAGTCCTGGTGTGGTGCTGTGGGTTAATGTGCTGGACAGCAAGGTTGGTTAGAAACACAAACTCAGTAGTTCAAGCTCACCAGTCGCATCTCAGAAACCCTAGACAGGGTTGCTATGAGTCGGAACCAACTTGACAGCACTTAACAACACAACAAAGAGTTCTAGGTGACTCAAACTCTCCAAATTGTCCATGACCACTCATCCAGTGAGATAGGCAATGGACCCAGAGCAGGAGGTCCTAAAAGGTAGAGAGGATGGAAGCGAGGTCATGATGTCCAAGTGGGAACAATGAAGCCAGCAGCACTTATCAATCCCCACATACCCAGGAGGAGGCCAATGAGGAAACTGAGGGAAAATGGCTGTGATTCTGTGGCTAGGGAGAAGCTGCAGCTTCCAGGAACATTTTAACTAAGTGATGAGTACCTGACTTACCAAAAGATTCCAAGTCTTCTGCGTGGCCAGGACTCTTTAAGCGATAATGCCTGGCTTTTCTTGAAACTTTGTCCTTCCTGTCCCAGAGTTTTAAGTTTATTTTATGAAAATTTATTTTCTTTAAGAAATCCTTTGTCACGTTGAGGTTAAAAGCATGGGCCCATGACACCCACACTTTGTCATCTTCAAACCACGGCTTCACGGTCTGTAAAGCAACATTGAGAGACTTTAACTGTGGAAAAGTGTGAGGACTCAGACATGTACTGATGTAAACCCAGCCAACACTCTCATTAACAGTGGGCACACCGCTCGGCTCCACTGGTGCCTCCTCTGCATCGGCCTCACCCCTGCTCCAATTCAGCTCAGGAACTCAGTGGGATATGCTGAGCTCCGTCAGACCCCTGGGTTCTTGGGTAAAGTAAGTGTGCTCTCAAAATCCTTCCAACCCTGACCCTGAGCCAAAACACTGGCAGGAGTGTGCATTCATACACATGCATACACTAATACACACAAACACACACATTCGTAAACACATACTCAGATATACATTCATACACATACACACACACATATATACATACTCACATACACATTCATATACATACACACACACTATCACACAATTCATATACACAATATACATACTCACATACACATTCATATACATACACACACACTATCACACAATTCATATACACATGCTGACATATACATTCACACGCATACACTCATATACTCACACACATACATTTGTACGCATAATTCACACACATTTGCAGATACACTCACTTACATACAAACCCATTGTGCATACATTCACACTTACACACATTCGTATACATACACACATATGCACTCACATACACATTCGTGCACACTCACATACACACATGTGTACACTCATAACACACAAATTGTGCATACACTCACACATACATTCATACACACACATTCGTACAAACATGCATGCACCCATCGTGCACACACACTCACATACATTCACACATACTTACATGTTCATGCATGCACTCACATACTCACATATTCATACACACATACTCACACACATTCATACTTACACTCCCATACACTCAAACACTCACACACACACATTCATACTTACACAAATACATACTAATGCACAGAATCACATTCCTACACTCATATACATCCATGTGCATACTCATGTATGCACAATCACAAAGGTTCATAAACACATATCCACACACATGAGCACACACATACAGAAAGTCATCTCAAGAGCTGCAAAGCTTTGGAAACAGCCAAGAAATAAATAACTTAGTAAAACTACCCAAGCAGTTGGTAGTAGGTCAATGCAGAGCTGTTCAGCAGGTCCAGGTTGGGGACAGAGTCGGCACGCTTAGTAAACTTCCAGGTGACCCCGCTGCTGCTGCTGCTTTTCCAGGGCCCACTTTGGGGAGTTAAGGATTCCTCTCAGTGAAAGGACACGCATGCACAGAGGCGTCAA